ATCGGAAAATACCTCGGGATACTATACGATATGTCGCTGCGTACCCTGCATTGTCCCACCATACCCTGACTTTATATGGACGTATTTCCGATGTTGTAAAACTAAAATAGAAAAGCTAGCTCTTCCTTTAAAAAAAAGAAAAATATAGTCAAACATAGCATACATTTTTGTTGGATTGCAATGTTTTGAGGTTTCTTCTATGTGATGTGGTAACTTGACAGAGTGTACATGTATTACGACATCAGTTGGCAGAAAGTGAGGGTACGGTGGGAAAATGCAGGGTACGCAGCGACATATCGTATAGTACCCCGAGGTACGTTCCGATATATCGAACCGTACCCAGGGTACCCTCCGATAGTACCGTGGGGGACATAGACCCTATGAGCGTCACTGACACTGTGTGAGTGTGACCATGAACTAATGACGTCAGTAATGAATACATGTATGCGTAACTATTCATTAAAAACATGCATGCAGTGACTTTAGAGGGTTCCGCGACTTGCGCTAAAAATAGCAATATTACCTACAATCCCGTGCCGCCGGCCATACTGTTACTGTTGCTCAGAGGGTCTATGTCCCCCAGGGTACGGTCCGGTATACCGGAAGGTACCCTGGTACTATCTAATATGCCGGATCGTACCTCGCCTACTCCACTAATGAGTCTAGGGAGTCGCCTACGCCTACTCCCTAACCCTAACGCCCTAACCCTAATCCTAACTCTAATCATATTAAATAGTTACCAGGTTACGTTCCGGTATACCGGACCGTACCCAGGGCACGTTCCGGCAGTACCCTGGGTGACATAGACCCTATGAGCGTTACTGTTGGTCAGAATTGCGAACACGTGTTACCGATATGCGCAAGATTGTACATACGATGGTGTTATTATAGTAATCTATATTAGCAGTAAGTGGATCCCGGTTTTGCAGACATGTTTACCAGCGCGTGTTGGGGTGCTAGAGTTCGATATGATTGTGCAGACCCGGTTTTACAGAGTGTTGCAGGCAGGTTTATCAGCGTGGGTTGGGGTGCTAGTCTGCTAGAGTTCCATGAGATTACACAGGTCCGGTTTTGCAGGGCTTTGCATGCAGGTTTATTAGCGTGGGTTGGAATGCTAGAGTTCGATGAGGTTGCCGCATAGTCCGCGGATTGCTAGATTGAGCAGATCGGGAGATTGCACGCAACACATATCATGGACTTGAGTTTGTTTACATTGCGAGTGTTCAGAAACTTCAATGATTTTACTGCATATCAGGGGTCGAAATTAGATTTTTATTATCCATGGTATCTATTCGGGATACCAGGTATTGAAATCTGGTATCCCCCCCCCAAAGATTTGGTATCCCATTTTTTGGATAGTAATTTCAACAATGTTGGTATCCAAAATCTTGAAATATGCAATATAATAGCATTTGAAAATTAATGATATGTAATGTAATTATTATATATAAAAACATGAAAACAGATTCACAGATATGCAGAGACAAGTACACTGCAGCAGGCTTTCAGATTTGAAAA